TGAAGCTTTTGCTGCAGTTCTCATCCGTGTTTGTCTGCAATACTGACACCCTGTGGCTATTTTTGTAACTGTATGTTACTCCACATATACTGGACATTATAATCACATTTTGGATTTATTTTTTACTATCAAAAATTATATATTTTAATATTATTTTCTGCTGATTCCGTTTGTTAGTTCTGTTTTATGTTCTGATCCATCTAACATTCTCAAATATTTTGTGTGAGTTATTGTTATTGTTAGTTAGTCTAATTTTAAGAAAAAAAAACATAAAAGTAAAAACATTAGACTTGAGTGGAAAAAGGAGTTTAATGTCATTCAACAACTTCCTGATTAATTTTGTAGGCTTCCCCATTCATCTTCAGTAGGAAGTTAAACCATAGTATGAGCGAAATTTGAGAAGTATTCCAAAGGCGTAGCCGATTGGCAGACCTAGTGCTTTACTGACAGGTAGAGCTGCCCTTGTTGCAGGAACCTTCTGTAAACTTCCTGTTGGAAAAGCTATTCGGTTTGTCAAGTTAATGATTTAAAATGATTTAAAATTTAGGATTTACACAAAAAGTTTTGTGTTACAAAACAATATTTGTGTTGATACATCTCTTGCTTATGTACTATCCGAGATAAAAGTGGGTTTTTTGTGCCAAATTCAGAATTAGGAATCACTGGCTAAACTGCGCCCCCCTCCGGCAGGAACAGCGCCAGACATCAAACTGATGACGTGGTTTGGTCCGTGGAGCAAAGCAGCAGGATGGCCGACCAGAGCAGGCAAACAAAACTCGCTGCAGCTAAGAAAAAGGTAAAGTATTTAACCACAATGAATTAAATATTTAATAAAGAACATTATCCTGGATTAAATTTACGGGTTTTTGTCCTTGGCTGTCTCTACGTTTTATGTCAATTTCATATCCGGAGCCGGGGTGTTGTCATTCCACGTCGTCCGACCTCTGCGATGTCGCTTGTCCACGTTAAAGCACTCCTTCCGCGAATTTAATGCGCAGGGCAGACCGGTGCTTCTTCTTGGCCTCAATTGATTGCATTAACTTTTTCCTTGATTAAGGAGACTATTTCCAGTATGCGCCGGTATTTGCACCACCCACGCCGTCTGGGCAACCAGTGATTAATTACACGTACTGTGTTGAATCGTTACCTTCCCATGTCTTATATCTAACGTTATGTGTAGTTACTTACAAATGTTGACGTGCTAAGACATGTCAACGTTAGCATCGTTGCTAACTATATTTGCTGATGTGTTAGTGTGTTAGGCTAGCCTTACATGAGAAAAGGTTACGTTCTGTCCGTTACCAAGAATGTAAACCTTGTAACGGGAAGCTACGTTAAAAAATACAAATATGTAGGAAATAATTGTACACGTTTAACTGTTAGGACGAGGCCACGGGGACTTGTTTTGACAGCTGACACCCCTCTTGCCTGTCCTGCTGTGCTGTAAGGCCGGTCGGAACCGCGACCGTATCAACTGTTCAGTGTTAACCTTAGGAAAATCACCAGTCAGCAGGTCCTCAACTATTGTACCCGATGCATTGCTGTGTCGCGATAGTATCTGAAAGACTAGTTATCTTTTCTGAGTGTTGTTAGAAATGGAAATTCCAGTTGTTTCCCCACGGTAATTTTAACAGGTTCCACAGGACAGCTGTCACAGGGCCCTAATGGCCAAACCCACTCAGGCATGAGAATGTATGCTTTAACTGTCACATGGTCCATCTACAAATAGATGATGTTATTTGCCACAACTGACCATCCCATCCTGTTCAGTTAGGACTATAAGAAATCAATTTGTCCAGTTTAGATCACAGTAAATACTATTTACCTAGTAAGTAGTTTAGCTTTAACTTTGAAATCAGATCCATTGTGGGGTTTTTTTTTTTTTGTGTGTATTATTGTCAAAGCATGTATGCAGTGTATTCCAGACTCCACATCAAACCAAGTTCAAGTTTCACTATTCATTTGACTTGAAAACAACAGCCTCCAGTGATTTTGGGTTGACAGAGAGATTGAATGCTTGCATTTTGAGATTACGTGTGAAGGATTTTCCATATAAACCAGCCATATAATCATGTAAATGGCCATAGCATTAAGACTCCCTCAAAATAAACCCCTGCAGGTAACGGAAAGGGAACATTACAATTTGTTTTCACACACTTTGTTATATAATCTACGTTAACAGTCCTTAACATTTTATCTTTAAATGAATAAATAATGAATATGACACAATGAATAAATTGATATGACTAGATTCTTTTGGAATGAAGTAAATTAGGAAAACTAGTACATTTTCTTCCACTGCAGCCCAGTACCAAATGATCTACGGACCGGTATCAGTCCGTGGACCGGAGGTTAGGAACCCCTGATCTATGTGTATTTATAAATTTAGTGTCCCAAAACCTGATATGTTTATATATAAAACACAGCGTTTCAAAGTCAGGAAGTTAATACAGAAGTACAGAAATGTTTTGCTACATTCCTTTTCGCACACCGATGATTTATTTTTCTCACGTGCCTCACAGCTAAAGGAATTCCAGCAGAAGGGCTCCCCTGCCACAGTGGGTGGAGATAAAGGTGGTGGCGGTGTTGGTGGGGTAGGGGCCAAGAAGAAGAGGAAGATGAAGGGTCCGGGCCAACTGGATGCACCTTCAAGTGATAGAAACTCTCCAGTTAATGTAAGTTACATGGATTGACCTGTTTGGCTTTTGTGTAGATCATATTTAAATAGGCAACTTGTCATGTATATTTGTTCAAATCTGTTGAATACTGTGCTGCACAGATGACCCTGTGTTGTATAGATACAGCATGAACATCAATAATATGTGCTCCGATTTAAAGGACCGAATGTGGACAAATTTGATTAAAACATAAATGTCCAACTAATTAATGAAACAATAAGAGAAACAGTTATTGTTTAGATGTGTCAAAAAATATTAAGCCTTGTCTTTTTGTACCACCAATTAATGCTGCCATAGTTTGGCTAATGTTTGGAGTAGTTCATTATGTGGAGTGAGCAGACAACTCTCAAGGACAGGGGACAGACACTTAAATGGGTCTTTCTGACAGCACACGTTGTCAATTTTAATACTTCTTGGAATCTGGCCTGGTCGCAAATCCAGAGCCCCTACTGCTTTGACTGATTATTTCTTGTAGTGCAGTTTTGTTATCAGTGTTAAGAAGTGTAGTTTTGTAACTTTTGACTGCAATAACCTCTGTTAGTAAGATATGACTTGGTGTTCACTGTACACCCGTACTTGATGAACATAAAATATACTTGTGCAATAGTTTTTCAGTCTACACGTATCAGAATACATCAGATTAGGGGTACTTGATGCATAGACAAAGGGACTATGAGTACTCATCGAGTATTCACAAAGTACTCACAAAGTAGTGGAGTACTGATAGCTCATGAAAAACAAGTAGTGGAGTGTAGTTCTATAGTGTGTAGTACTGACGATATACTGTAAGAATTGACATTAATTTAATCAGTACTTCAACATATATATATATATCAAGTATGATCGGGTTATAAAAGTAAATATATATATGCTTTAGCCTGGTCATTTAAATAGCATCTTCCAAGCCAATAAAGTGTGGACACCCCTGCATCAAATACTGTCTCTGTTCTCACTTCCTGTTTGAACATTTGTTACCAATGAAATATTTTTGGAATAGGAATGTTATGTCTGGAGCTGTGTGTAAACAGAACTGAAGTAGAAAGAGATTTGTGTCATGTTTAGTTAGTGTTCAAGTGAAATCCAGGTGATACTTATTCAGTTCTCGGTGTCTGCGGAGACTTAAGCCTGCGTTTGACCTCATGGCACACCTTCCTCACTGTCCCTCCTCAGATTTCTTGTGCTTGACAGTTCATGATACGGTCTCCCTTCAAACTGTACTTTTCTTTTTCACCTGCTGCCTTTCTTTCTTTCCTCCTTTCTTCATGTAGTTTGACTCTATTCTGAAGTCAATTAGTCAAACCAATGGAATAGCCCTTCCACCTTATGGAAAATGTCTGGTGAGCCTCTCTCTCTCTTTCCTCTCCCAACCTTCACTCTGCCTTCATTTCTGTCTCTGCATTTCTGTCTTGTCTGCGCTGCTCCTCATGCTACGTTAGTTATTATACGTTGCCATTTTACCGTAACCTTCTCCTCAGGTCAATGACCTTGATCTGAAATGTGAATAAAACATAAAATCATGACTGGAAAGGTTTCATGTTTTACTTGTTTTTTGTTGATTTGCTGAAATCCGTCATGTGAGTGTTTAAGTAAAACCATGAGTTATTTTGAAGTGTTGTTTTAAATCCCTTTGTGTTCACAATTTATTTTCCTGTTAAAGTGCATTGTGGGAGGGCAGGGTTCTCAGCATGTCTGTGTTACTATCTGTGTCATAAAAGCATGCATCTGGATAAACAACGCACGCCTGCGCACTGAACATTAGCAGCAAAACACGTTTCATCACCGCTTTTGTCTGCTGCTGTTTTATGTTGTGTCCCGCGAACACATAAAAGATGCTGCACCAGCAAATCTTTTAGACAGAGGTGTAATTATAGACCAGAACTAATGATGCATGAGCAGATCAAGTACTAACTAAAAAATTTACATTCAAAATCTGTATAGAAAAATCACCACGTCCACCCTCTCCTCCGATCGTCCATTCACTTGACTATTGAAAAAGATATGATCGAAAATGTTAAACACAAACATTGCGTCATCATTGATGCATCATGTATAACAGAGCGTTATACTGTTTGTTGTTGAGGCACACGTTAACTGGTGAGGCTGCTGACTCCATTTTGTTGACTTACTTAAATGACACAAGAGTGACGCAGCAAAACCACAAAGTACAGTAATACGCTGCAGTGTATTGTTAGAGTTTAACGCATTACTGCTTTGTCTATATATCTATATCTTTATTTTTATTTATGTGTCACTTTAGACTATTGCTGATGTGGAGCCCATATCAGTTCCTCAGCCGCTGGAGGACCCAGGGGGCCAGCCTGATCGCAGCTCACCTGTGTTTAACTCTGCTGTGCCTAACGTTACTAATCTCCCTGAGTCTGTCAGTCGCAACGCTGACGTGCAGGTGTGTCTCCTCACACTCGTGTCCTCTCATTTCCCCTTCTGTCTCTCATATTCAGTCTGGTTTGTCATTCATAACCTGTGTCCGTTCATCACATCTGTCGGCCTCAGCATAATGACTCAGAAGTTTGTGGATAGTTGATTTTTTTTTTTTTTTTTGTTCATATGAAATGCATCCAACCAATCCACCGCATCCTTTTTTGTGCCAAATATGCTGTGTCATCACACAATCCTCTCCTCTCCATTTGCTTCCCTTTCTCTTCTCAGTCTTTTACCTCAATCACCTTTTTGTTTTTTGTTTTGTTTTTTTCTCTGCAGGACTATCCCGATACCAATGGCAAAGAGAGTTTAACAGAGGAGAATAGGTGGGTCTCCTCCTCACGCTCACTTGTTTCCTCTGGTGCAAAAAATATACCAGACTTAATTATGTATGGGTTTGATTTGTTGATTTAATGTCGTGGTTTTGATCGCGTTAATAGAAGAATTGTGTTCACACAAGATGGACAGTAGAAGTAGTAGAAATCTAGCCCCACCACATTAAATATTTTCAGTTACTGTTATGTAACACAGTATATCTAAATGATATAATAATAATTTTTTTTACATAAATAATAAATATAAATAAATAATAATACTGTTTATTCTGTGTTGTCCTGCAGACCGCTGTCTTCCACTGAGAGCCTGCGGCAGCTTTCACAGCAGCTGAACGGCCTGGTCTCTGAGGTACCGCCTTCATTCAATGTTGGCTTTTTAACAATAACACACCGTGACTATTGTGAAGCATTAGTGACGACACATTGCATCTATTCATGGCAGAATGCACTGGAAAAAAGGGTTTAAAAATAGAGAGGTTTTTCCCAGTGGTATCAACCACAAAGAACACAAACTTTTTTTCTTTTTTCTTTTCCTCTGGATATACATATATGTACACAGTATTTAACATAGACATCTAGCTAAACTACATACCCATACATACATATATCAGTTTGTACAGAAATATAAATGACAAACAGCGTCATAAAAGTTTTCTGTCTGGTGGTAAAATTCAGGAGATTCAACTGATTGAATGCGTCTAAATGAATAATCTTTTCAAAGTTGTTTAAATTCCACACTCTTTGTGCCTTCAGTCATCCACTGCCTACGTAAATGGAGACAGTACATCTGTGCTCAGCGAACGAGAACTTGAGGTGAGATCCAGTTCTAAAACGTTCTGTGAACATAGAGACTTGTTGTGAAATTTGAAACCAGACCTGAACTTGGTCACGTTACAAAGGAGTTTCTTCATATTCAAAAGAATGGGAGCAGCAACATGCCCATAGTCAAATGTGCCTGGAAGTAATGTTACATTTTATAACTGTTACTGTTGTTCACTTAATGTGGATTTTAAACCCGCCCTCAACTTTAGTTTCTTGAAGCTCTTTGAAGGCTTTGAGCCACACACAAGTGTTTGGTTTTATTTATTTATTTTATTTTATTTTACATGAACAAGTGGAAATGATAAAATAAATGTCTTGATTTAATAATTCAACAAATCAGACAATATTTCTCAGAAAAAAAAGTAAAAGCGATAAACATGAGTCTCTGATTAGGGCGAAAAAGATGTACAGAAATACATTTCAGTTTTATTCTGTGAGTTTCTCAGCTCTACGTTTGACTGAGCTGATTTAAATCTTAACGCAGGAGTAATGTCGTTAAGTAGGCTCAACTAGTTCTAACTGGTTTAACAGCCGTCATATCCTTTATTATTTGCGTCATGTCTCATTTAAATTGTGCACAAGTAAATAAGTGAAAGTTTGTGTTTTTTCTTCTTTCATGTTGTCTTTATTTGTTTCTTTGACATCACACGTTATTCTTCTCTTGTTTGTTTTTAATTTCTTCTTCTTTTTTCTTTTTTTTTTTTGTTTTCATCCTCGGATGCATGCGTGCACGTGATAGAGCCGGAACCAGGAGCTGGCAGCCGCCCTGGAGTCCAGTACCTTAACAAACTCTCAGCTCAATTCTCAGCTAGAACAGCTGGTAAGCAGCTGTGTTTGTGTTTCTGCACACGTTTATTTGACCTCTTGCCGCATGCCTACAATTTATTACTACTTCAGAGCATGTACTGGATACTGCACTTCACTTTTAGTGACCACACCCTGATCCTCGATGCCCTTCGTGGTTTTCATCTCTTTATATCTGTTGTTTATAACCAGAGTACGAACAGAAAACCCTTCTTGATTAGAGCTGTTACGTTAGTCTGCAGGACTGTTGTGTCAGACATAATATCCTATCAGGTGGCATGAAAACTTATTTTTAAACATCCACTCAGTGCCAGGGCTCTGCCTGTCTTGTGCTCTGGCTGATTTAATTTTACATCTATCTGTGGTGACCTTCATTTACACTGCATGGGCATGTAATCAGAGAACTGGCATCGAGAAGACACGGTCCAGCTCCTGCAAAATTAAAAAGATGAAAATTGCACGGATGGCAGTGGATTCGCAGTGTTTCAAAATGTGTCTCCGACACTTTGTTTTCAGTCACGTGATCACAGCTTTCAGTCAAGGTGCACCAGCTCAGATATTTTTCATATGCTACATTTTATTTGAACTTGACCTATATTTATGAAAATGAAAGATGTTTACAATAGTGTGAGGTGTTTTAAACACAATTTTAAATAAAATAATAATTAGTTGATGTATGAGGTGTTTTAATTTTAAATAAAATAATAATTAGTTGAATCATTTTTAGAATGCTAAAGTTATTTTTATCATTCATTTTTTATTAACTGTTAGACATTTCCCGACGACCCATTGTGGGGTCAGGACCCCAAGGTTGAAGAACACTCTATCATTTAATTTTGAACATTCTGTTGTCTCTTTTTACTCCGCCATGGACTTATTTTATGCACCACTTATTATATTTTTATGATCATTTATTATTTTATGTTTGCATCTAAGGCTTTTTGACGCATTAACTATAATATATTAATACATTTGCCAGCATTTTGTTTATCTTTTTATCATATTTCCCAAACTAAAATCTACATTATTTCCATTTTACAGGCACAGCAATCTCAGGAGCTCACAAATCAGCTACAAAAGGTAAATTAACAGCTTTTCCTTTTCCATCCTGCTGCTGTTTCTGTTGATTCATCCCACTGTAATGTTCCCTCTTTTTTACTTAACAGTTGTTATTGTTATTATTATTATTTTTTACCTAAAGGAAAGAAAAGAATTTGAGCAGAGATGTTCAAAGGAGCAGGGATCCATGCGGGAGCAATTGCAGGTAACTCCTCAACTCCACCTTCCTCTGATCATCACTCCTTCAAACATATAAATTGTTTTATCCACTTTGAACTGTTTTTTTTTGTCCTCAGGTTCACATCCAGACCATTGGTATTTTGGTTTCAGAGAAATCCGAACTACAAACTGCACTACAGTACACACAACAGGCTGCACGACAGAAGTCAGGTCGGTTCATTCACTCGTCACTCAAGCTAGTACGATTCTGTTTAAGGGAAAACTACAACGTACAAAAAAAATCACCCCGGGTAACAGTTTGCATATGTGTTTGAATTTCCTGTTGTAGCTGAGGCAGAGGAATTGAACAGCCGCCTGCAGTCGACAAGGCAGCGAGTATCAGAGCTGGAACGAACGCTCTCTTCTGTCTCAGCACAACAGAAACAATTGGAGAAGGTTTGTGCTGATTATTCCGCCATGACTAACGCATGTGCAATGAAATATATATATATATACACATGTGCAATGAAATATATATGTACGTAAAACCCTCACACAGAAGCATGACCTAAAAGTCTTGGTTTTTTTGTGTGTCGCAGCACAACAAAGAGCTTGAGAAGGAGAGAGACGTCCTGAGGCTGGAGGTGTTCAGAGTCAAGTAAGTCACCCCGCCTCCTCCCCCCACTGCACTGAGCAAACTTTCAAGGCTGTGGTTCGTCAGTGACGTCACGCGTGCATCTGCGTGTTTTCCACTTGCAGCAACGTGAGCGACGAGTCCAAACAGCAGAGCTCGGAGTTGACAGAAAAGTTGAAACTGATGACGCAAGGGAACGACGCCATGAGGCTAGAGATGGAAGATCTTCGCAAGAGGCTGGAGTTTTCTGAACTCATGCTACAACAGGTGCGTCCAAACCTTTCACGCTAGTTGTTAACACAACAATTTCCCAAATATGGGATCAATGTAGTACAAATGTATGTATCTAAGTGTATTTACACTAATTAAACTTTTGATAAGCAATCTAAAAACAGTATTATTTATTTGTTTGTTTGTTTTGTACAGTGCTCCAATCAGTCAGATCCCAGCAGTGCCAACCAGCAGGTCCAGTTACTGCTGGAGGAGAAACAGCAGCTGGAGGCACAGAGTCAACAGGTTTGTGAAGAATTGTCTCCTCTTTACTCTTTGTCATTTCACACATCGGTCCGTGTACGTTTTCAGTTTCATCAGTTCACAGTGAACGTTGGCATAGCAATGAAACGTTCATGTAGAACGGGGGTGTCATACTCATTTCCACCAGGGGGCCACATCAGCAATACAGTTCCCCTTGAAGGGCCGGTTGTAAATGGAAGTTATAGATTGTGTAAAGATCGGGGTTCCCCAACCCCCGGTTCGTGGACCAGTACCAGTCCATAGGTCATTTGGTACCGGCCGCGGTGGGACACAGTAAAAAAAAAAAAGTACTTAATTTTTACTAATTTACTTAAATCCAAAGCAAATCCAGTACTCATTTACTTTCTTTATTTAAAGATAATTTGGTAATATTTTAAAAATAAAAGTCATTCAGACTCTGATACATATAGAAAAGAGTCCAGTAGATGTTTTATTTTAAAAATGTAATGATGATGTGATGATAATGCTCAGCACCTTGGTACTGGTCTGTAGTAACAGGTGGTACTGACTGACCAGTCCTTGGAACCAAAAAGGTCGGGGATGTAACTAGTCTATAACAGACTAAAACATGTTTCTGCAGTTGATTATTATTTGTTTACTTTACAAATATTGTTCATTGCAGTGTCATAAAAAAAACCTTTTAATTTCTTAGGTTAAGAAAGTCGGCTGCATGGACGTTACCGAATGCTTTTTAAGCTCCTGCAAGGCCACAAAAAATGGCTTGGCGGGCCACATTTGGCCCCCGGGCCTTGAGTTTGACACATATGATGTAGAACAAACATGTTTTTTAAGCCGTTTCTTTCTCCTCCACACTAATGTTGCAGCTGATGGAGTCCATCGCCCAGCTGAGTTCAGAGAGAGACTCCTATGCCGAACAGATCCAGGACGAAGGTCGCGTTTGGAAGGACAAAACAGAGCAGCTTCTGACACAGGTTATAGACTGACTGAAAGTTTGATTTTAGTTGAGACTGTTGGGTTTTTTTTTTTTTGTTCATATGTATTTTTTTTAACAAATTATCAAATAACCCTCCTGACATGTGGTCAGGTTTCGTTGGTCGCAGAGGAAAGAGACAAAAACATCAGTCGAGTCCAGGAATTGGAGGCTGCCATCGCAGAGTTAAAGAATGCTGCAGGTACGAGGAGTGATAATCTAATCTAACTGTGACTGATGACATGGCAATGAATAATACTAGCATGAAGAGACATGGAAAAAGAATAATTATATCACTGTTGACAAACACAGTATGTTGCTCCCTGTCTTTCTGTAGGGGGCGCTCCAGTGTGTTTTTTTCACTGTAAAGTTTATCACACATACTGTCAAGCAGTTCTGCATACGATTAAGTGCCATCCAGTATAGTATAACAGCTGCAGCAGTCCAAGTGTGGAGCACAGAGCTAGCCATATTGTAGTGCTTTTCTGTGGCAAACTGGCTAAACTTGGAAGCTGTTGTCCACCTCCTCCTCCTCCTCCTCCTCCCTCTCCCTGTCTACCTCGATATATACTGTCCCAGCAGAGAGATTCTCAGAATAATGCAGAGCCCGAGTCTTCAGGGCCGTCAGAGAATGAGGTTGCTCTGCAGGAAAGCCTCGACAGATTACAGCAGGAGAAAGAAGCCCTTGCTGCACAGTACCAGGCGCAGGTGTGCATCAGCTTGTGTTTTCATATGTGATCCTCGCATTCATTTACTACATTTCAAAGCTCATCTGTGCGTCTCTGCGATATCTCCTGCAGCTGAGAGACAACGAGCAGCTGAGCCGTCTGGTTACAGAGCAGGAGGCGCGTCTCGGGGAGTTTGAACGGCAGGTGGAGAGCCAAACCCAGGAGGCCGAGGACCGACGGCGCATGTTGGAGGATGTTCAATCGGACAAGGCCACGATAAGCCGTGCTCTCACCCAGAACCGAACACTGAAGGACCAGCTGGCTGAGCTGCAGAATGGTTTCGTCAAACTGGTGAGGATTAAAACTTGTCCTGTTCTTTTCTGTTTATATTTATTGTATATATGTGTATATGGAATGCATACATTTGTGTCTATGTATATATTTATTTAGATATATATGTATATTTATATATATGTCTGTTTACATTTATGTATATATGTATTTATGCAATTCATATATTTGAGTGTATGTGTATATATATTTAGATATATGTCTGTTTATATTTTTGTATATATGTGTATGTATACATATATTTTTATGTATATATTTACACACACACATATATATACATATGTATTTACACATACACATGTATATGTATGTATGTATATGTATATATGTATGTATATGTATATATGTATACATGTATGTGTATGTATGTATGTATATGTATATATATGTATGTATATATGTATGTATGTATGTATATAAGATGCTCTGTGTCACAGTTTGAGTATAAGCTGTGTTTTGAATTTTTTTTTTCACAGTTTACAAAGTGGGAAAACAAGTCACCTTTGTATTTCATTTAAACACTGTGTTTGAGTTTATGAAAATAGCTGGGGGTTTTTTTTTCCATTTTTACAGACAAATGAAAACATGGAGCTGACCACTGCCATCCAGTCAGAGCACCATGTGAAAAAGGAGATTGCTCGACGAATGGGAGAACTGCAGGAGGAACTGCACAACGTGAAGGAACAGGTACGGTCAGGCCACTGTGTGGACTTTCTCTCCTCTGTGGCTGTAAACAAAGACTCAAACAGGAACAAAACAAACAACGTCTTTATTCAACTTTTTTAATTTCCATTCTTTTCCACATAGTTGGAATTGAAAAGTCAAGAGAGTCGTAGTCTGCTGGAGCAGAGGGACCAGGTGGTGGCGCACCTGCAGCAGTACAGTGCAGGCTACCAGACCCTGGCCTCAGAGAGAGAACAGCTCCACCTACAGTATCTGCATCAGAGTCAGCTCATGGACCGCCTGCAGCACGACGAAAGCCACGGCCGCACACAGCTGGAGATGAGTAACAGTCAGCTCAAACAAACGCAGGTGCTTAGTTTTTTTTATTTTCTTTTTACTAAAATTGTTGTATAAAATGTGCTGTGGTGTAAAGTTTAAACTGCAGTTAATGGTTTATGATTTCTCTTCTTTTCATGATCTCCTCTATCTTTAGTACATTAAATGATACTCTGTGGCCCCCTACAGGATCGTTTGGAGCAGTTAGTTAAAGACAATGAGCAGCTGAAGACTGAGGTGAGAGAACTTCTCAACAGCTCAGTTCTGTCATCATCGAGAGACCGAGGTAAGTTTTGCTTTTATTTCCCTTTTACTTTTATTTAGTTTGTTATTTATTTTATTTGTTTTATCTTTTAGTTATTTATTGTAGAAAACAATACCCTGTTACTACTCTTAATACGGGGTTTTCAAACTCATTTTGTTTTATGGGCCACATTCAACCTAATTAGATGTCAAACGGACCGCACCACTACAATCATAACATAATTACCTACTGTATGAGTAACAAAAAGTCCATCTTTTTCCCCTTTGTTCTCATGCAAAAAAGTACATTAGATAATTCTTCATATTAAATTAAATATAATTTTACAAAACAAGGAGTGTTTTTGTATTTATTTTTTTTAATTCATCCAGCGGGCCAGTTTTGGCCCACAGGCCATATGTTTGACTCCCTTGCTCTTGACCAATTGCTAATTTGTGTTGCTGCAAGATCAGTTAAGGAAAATATTTAATGTTATTTAAATATAATAAATTAGACAGATAAATAATTATAATTAATTTGTTTTCCTGGTTAGATAAAGGTAAAATAAATTAAATAAAACTTTGCCATATGTCCTTGTGTGATTTAGGTGATGGCGTGGAAAGCCAGTGCCTCCAGGAGAGTCCAACGATGTCCTCCTCCATAGTTATACCAGAACACTTTGAGAGCCACAACGAGATGGTGAGGAGCTTGATTATTGTGTGTGTGTAACTCTGGTTAGCTGTTTTTAGCTCACATGCTAATAGCTGTATAGCTGGTGTATGAGGTCTGGGCTACAGGAGGCAGTCTTCATTTATAATTTAATATATAATATTTGCCGTCATCCTGCAGGAGGAGTTTATCCGAGGAGCTCTGGCTCAGCTGGAAGCGGAGAGGGACGAGGCCAGAGGTCAACTGGAGGAGGAGCACAGACTCCACATGGCTGCCCGACTGCAGGTCGCTGCTGCTGTCAGCCTGGAAAAGCAAGACAACAGCTACACGCCAGCTTGTGACCAGCAGCATGAGCACGATCACACTCAGGGTCAGCACGGTGACGGTGAACACAGCTACGAGCGATCAGGTGAGTTGAGTTATAGTTCATTAATAATTATAGTAACAGTAGTATTACTATTAATTAATATTTATTATTTTGTATTTTGCATGTTTACTGTAGCTTGATTGTTTCATCAACTACTGACTCAAATTTGCAAGTCACTTTGTATAAAAGATTCTACTGAATGTATTGTAATGTAATAATAGCAACTTTCTAGTTAGATCTTTTTTAATGGAAAACAAAAGTAAAACAAACTCTAGAAACCTGTGAACCTCCTGAGCTTTCTTTCTTTCCGATTCAGAACTTCTATTTTCTCTGCTTGAGGTGAGGTGTTAATGATGAGAAATGATGTGACAAAACAACAGGCTTGAGATGTGACAATTTCTCGTGTTTAAATTATTTTAATGAACTCACTTAGTTGGAAAAACAATATTGAACCAGAGGGATCATGACACTGCCCTAGTGGTTGGTAAGGATTTGGCGACATAAATGGTGAAGTTTGAATTAATGGCTGACTGTTATAGAACGCATAATGGACTGTATGATGACACGCGTTTTCTGAATACAGCTTTTCCAGAAGAAGGAGTGCCAGTGGAAGTTCATCAGGCCCTACAAACCGCTATGAATAAACTCCAGCAGCGTTTCACCAGCCTCATGCAGGAGAAAGCTGATCTGAAAGAGAGAGTGGAGGAGCTGGAACACCGCTGCATCCAGCTGTCTGGAGAGACCGACACCATAGGTGAGAACAGCAGCAGCAAGCTTAGATTTACTGTGAGATGAATTGTGTCTATTTATATGTATACACACATATACTCTATATATATATATAGTTTTTTGTTTTTTTTTGAAATAAATAATATTAATAATCCTCTGTTTGCCTCAAAGGGGAGTACATCGCCTTGTACCAAAGTCAGCGAGCCATCATGAAACAGAAACACCAGGAGAAGGAGCAGTACATCAGCATGCTGGCTCAGGACAAGGAGGAGATGAAGGTGTGCACAACTTAAAAATACAATGCAAATTATGTTTTTGTATGAAATTTATTTTTGGACTATGTTGAAGAGTCCAGTCGCATCGGTCAGAAAAATGTGTCGCAAATAGGAAAAAAAACATAGGTCAATAAGTCTCATAAGTCATTTTTGAAACATTTATTTCATGAAAATCCAGGAGCAAAAAAAGATCTTTTAGAACATAGACTGAATATATTAATGTAACAAACAAACAAGTTCCTGATCTTGTTCCACATCACTGAATCCATTCACTTCCGGTGGAAAAAATAATAATTCAAAAACCTTCTTTGAACTTGACTTACCATCATCATCAGTTTCTTTTCTGCTGCTAAAGTTAGGGCGTTCTTATTGTTTTGATGTATTTAAGGAAATCTGAATCTTTGAATCGTGTCATTTTTCAGTGGTGCAGTAGCAGCAGTTGTACCCACAGATACAATGTATATTTTTGATGGTGTTTTGAGTATTAGTCGCAGTTAGCTGGGATTATACTACACATTTTTCCTAAATCCCGTTGCCTATCTTGTGTTTCTTTAAATACTATTTTAACTACAATCTCCTAAATTAACCTTTTTTTCTTTCCTGCTCTTGTGCTTCAGGCCAAACTGGCGGAGCTGCAAGATCTGGTGATGAGGCTGGTGGCCGAGAGGAACGAGTGGTACAGTCGCTACACTGGAGCTGCAGCAGCAGGCGTCAGCACAGTCAACCCAGACCTGCTTCCTATGGAGAATCACACTCCTCTTGAACACCAAACACACACAGACACAGAAGTGAATGCCATCAGTGAAGAAGGTATGAACGGCCGCCACAACCTGTGGGTTTTAACCTGAGAACTGAGGCTCAACAGCTGTGTTTTTCTGAACAACAGAACACAGATGTTGTCTAAAAATCCCAGGTGCTCAGCAGTTTAATAAATACCAGGACCAACCTGTAGGGCAACAGTTTCATAATTAAAGAAGTGTCGATTTTTTTCCCAGTGTGATGCTCAGGTGGTTTTCTGAAATATGAGTGACTACATTTATTGAGACCCAGTCATGTGTTTGTCAGAATTCTTATTTTAATAAATAGGTACCGTATTATCTGCACTGTAAGTCAGTATAAGTCACATCAGCCAGCTAGAGTGCCCCCTGGCGGCTGTCATTTTGAAAATAACGCACATGTAAATTTCCAGTGGTAGCAGATACTGGTAAACAAGCCTAGAGTGCCCTCTAGTGGTGAAATTATATATTTTATATTTTATATAATTTCACACCTGAGTATAAGTCACAAACCCAGCCAAAGGATGAAAAAAAAAAAGTGCGTTGTACAGTATAATCTGGGAAATGCGGTGGCTGAAGACGAAGCTAACACTGGAGTTTCATGGTCATTTATTAAGGAATAAAAAGCCTAACTCTGTTCTACAGAAGCCATGGAGGTCATTCCTCTGTCAGAGCCCACGGAAGCTTCCTCGACCCAGACGCACTCATCGAGATCAGCGCCAACCGACTCCAAGCCGCTGGCGCCCAAAGAGGACGGCACAGCCCAGCAGATCATGCAGCTGCTGCACGAAATCCAGAACCCTCACGGAGCCCAACGGATGCCGCACTTCCTGGGAGAGAACCCCTGCATTCCCTTCTTCTACAGACCAGACGAGCAGGATGAGGTCAAGATCCTCGTGGTGTGAGGTGATAGAGGCGTGTGAGTGTGAGTGAGTGTGTGTGTGTGTGTGTGAGTGTGTGTGGGTGGGGGCTGTGATGTTGGACAGACCCGTCACAGGTCTCTGATCTGCTTGAATTAAACTGTCGTGTCTTTGTTCTATCTGTGGGAACGTGTGCATGGTTGAAAAAGAGTGTTTTCCTATTTGCTCTTCTCTCTCTCTGTTCTTGTCAGAGAGAAGGTCACAATAATCTTAGACATAATCTGATTACTGTCCTGGTAACATCCTTATTTCTCATCTCACTCATAAGTGCAATAAAGGAGGCCTGTGTGTGTGTGTGTGTTTTTCCTCTGTGTATACAGTACTTGGAGAAACACAGCGTCGTGGTTTCCTTTTTTTAAAACTTTTTGTTTTTTTGCACACTTGCCAAAAAAAAGAGAGAGAGCGTCACGTTTGAATGTAACAACTTGTTTACCTACCTGTGTGTTGGCAGAAAATGAACGAGGGAGTGAGGGAGTGTGGAAGGACGGAGAGGAAATGTTGAAGTCAATATAGGAGCATAGTGCACATAAACCTGTAGTAGGCGCTGTTTTGGAGCCATGACCTGACGTATGTGATCAGATGGTGGTAGACGGAGGCAGGTGTGGCAGATTTATGACATCCTTCAGTCTCCCTGTTTGTTTGGGTTTTTTTTGTTTTGTTTTTTTTTTGCCCTGCAGACACTGAAAATTTTCAAACAATGTAATGTAAAAATATATCTGGGAATATTAGCACGAGAAAACGGATTTAACAGAGTCAGTGAGACTGAAAATGATTGTTTTAGTCGCCGTGTCACTATTTAATTTTCCTCTGTTTTTCATCGCAGAAACAGAAGTATCAGTTTGTTCCTGTGTTGTAATTTATTCTTCAAGTCATTTGTCAGCATTTCTGCCAGATGCCATTGTGCCCTGTTCAAAAACACAACTGTTAAAAATTCAATTACCGTATTACTTACAATGCCCCGGCTTATATTTTGATTTTACAGCGCGTGGGTTCATAAATACTCCAATGCATCTTATAGTACCTCATCACTGCACAGAGCAGAGGTGTGCTCAGAGCAGGCGTAAGGAAGCTACACATCAGCAACAGAAACGTCAAGCCATATATTGCGTAATCCTAACCCTCCTACAACTCTCTACTGCCCTCTACAGTATCTACATGAATTTGTGTTATTGGCGTATGTATCTGGCTCCTCAGTCCACACGTCCATCACTTCTGGTTCTGAAAATTATCTTTATTTTCTGCCTCACAGTCTCAGTTCAATATCCAAACACTATAACCTGGAGGCAGTTTTTTTTCTGTTACATTTTTTATTTTTTTATTTTTTTGAGAGTCTACACATCCATCACAACTGGACAGTGTGTGAGTGCAGCATGTGTGTACCTGTTTGTCAGAGTGTATTGTTAAGAAAGATTGCACTAAGAAATGTACAAAGCTTCTCCGTCAGCTCTGTTTCCACCATTGATTGGGGGGTGGAGGAGGAGGAGGAGGAGGAGGAGGAGGAACTCTGTGATGCTTCACTCTTCTGCTGAGGGTTCCATATGGAGCGAGAGTTAATTTAACAGCGTGAACAGTGTGAAAGAGACCAAGGGTGTGTAAATATATGAATGGAAGGAAATGTTGATGCACCAGTGTGGGACCAATAAAAACTTGAATACATTTGAAACTGAAAATTTAAAACTATTTTTAACACGTAAATAACATTCGAGATCCAGAGTACAATCAGTTGGGCAACTGTTACCCCGCTACGGAAGAAACTAGTTCAACCTCTAAACAGTTGAGCTGTATTGGTTGACTGTGCTTTTCGCCTTCAGCTTAACATGCTCAAAATACCGTTACAAGTGCAGTGCAACTTGAACTTCTTCTCTAAAACATTACAATAGATTTGTACTATTATTTACCCAAGATTGAGCTAATTAGGTTAATGCCTTCTGGGGAATCGGCTAATGTTGCACAGCGTTTGTAATGATATTTTGAGCACTTGCTGGTCTAAAAATGTTTGGCGTTTATAACAGCCGGCCGAGAGACCTGATTTTAATAGAGCACACACTGTCCCTTTAACCTAGAAACATCTCACGACCCATCGTGTTCCATTTTGTGAGAGAAAAGTCTGTATGATTTCATTACGAGGGAAATCTTACTTATTTTTCAAGTCATTGTTTTTGCAACAGGATGCGGTCTGAACAGTTGTGCCTGTTCTTTAACAACACCGTACTGGGCCACTGTGTTTACTGTTCTACGTTGAACCACAGCACTTCATTCATTCACTACTTAAATATTCTTTTTTGCTTTCTAGCATTCAGTCACTTGTTGTTTTAATTTAAACTTTGCAAAAAAAAAAGCTTTCTTATTACTTTGGGCGGTGGTCAAATGCCAGAAGTATAATGTATATTCACATTTATACACACAGACATATATATATATATATATAAATATATAATAAATGAAATCCTTGCAGTGGTGATTCGGGGCTCGTAAAGTAAGAACAAAACGAGAGCAGTTTGGCTAAAATCAGTTCCCATTCTTTCAGACTTCCTGTTTAGTTTGTTGATCGTGCTTGAAACAGATGTCCGTGAGGAGGCATTAATCGTATTTACTGTAAAAGAGGACGTGTACATACTGTAACTGTGTAACATAGTGTATATTCATGAGCCTGATGTGCGTGTGTATGTGTGTGAATGGTGGTTGCTGGCAGCGTGGCCTGCGTGTCTGCTCAGAGTCGGGGTGTTGGTGGTTACTGACTGGCTGTGATTTAATACAGAGATTGACTAATGATTAAAGAAGAAAAAAAAATCAAGAAAATATATTTATTTGAAGTACCTTAGGATGCGAACTAATCAGTTTCAATGTACAATGAGGATGAATTAGGGGTGGAAATGAAGGATTGTTCAGACTGAATTGTCCGAGGGCTGCTTTGAAAAAAAAAAGCTGATTTCTGATTTGTTCTTTTCTTTCTTTTGAGTAATGATTTCTCCTTTTCTGCTGAATAAAACTGATTGAGCAACTCAAACCAGGTCTGGTACGTTTGCCTCTCATGCACAGTTAATGAAGACCGATTATAACGGCAGACACTTGATTTTCGGTACCGTCAATAAGACAACGGCTCAAGATGGCATAAAGAAAATGTACATATTTAGTATACCTAAATTTAAAAATATATTTTTACCAGTAACGGACAATAAATATAAACAATTTTCTGTCTTGCTTGGATTTAAATCTTAAATATCTGCTATATGCATGTGTACGTACATATATGTATACATACATATATGTACAGTATATATTTACATATATATGTATATGTAAACGTATACATATATAGGTGTGTACCGGTATATATATCTGTGTAAACATATATACAGTATGCCCTATGTGTGTATATACAGTATATTTATATATGTATATATATTATATATATATATTTATATGTATATATATATATGTTATATATATTTGTTGATAAAATAATATATAAATTAATATATTCTATATTCAAAAATATATTCTTGGATACCTCACCATCCATCGTCATGTTACTAATTCATCTTCAAACGCTGACCAGTGGACTCATGGGTCAGCGGTTGTGCTGAGGCCAGTTTTCTGTTGTTATAAATGACTGAACACATTTGCGTCATTACAACAGGATTTTATTCATTTTCTGTTTCACTCTGAAGCGCAGCGTCTCCAGCTGAGGACAGTCGTGTCCTTGTCCACATGAGTTGGAACAGAACAGAAAGCGTGAACTTCTTCAGAACATCTCCCTGAATCATTATACACACACACACAGTCGGTGTGTGAAACAGCTCTGGTTCACGTCGCTGGATCAGATCCTCTGATATGGTTTTCAAGCATCAACATTTTCTGGAACAGTTATTCACTCTCAATAATAATAATTTAATTCTTAAGCAAATTCATAGATTCAGACTACGTTTCTAGATCATGAAAGTATAACATACACCACACATATACAGAATAAGTCATTGAGATACGGTCATTTTTAAAACTATATACTGTTAAATGAGAGGTTAGATATGCGTCTGTCTGGCCTGCTTTGACGTTGTGGAGGAGTGGGATGAACAGAGGGTTCAGTGATATGTCTGAGGTCGGGTGGTGATGACATCATTGTACAGGTACAGAGACGGGCGTACGGTGGGAAAGTCAAAGCTTCAACAAGGACACAAACTAGTCAGGGGCTGGAAAAAAAAGGGGGCAGATACTACAGGCTGGAGAACAGGGTGGAACATCAGTGTAAATACAGTACACAGACGTGGGTGTGTCCATGCTCTCACTCACCCCCGTGACCGCTGAGAGAGGAGAGAAAAAAAAAATAGAAAAGAAAAGGAGTGGTAGATTATCAATCTGGAAATTCATCTAAACAGTGATACAAGATACAAACATTTACACATAAAATAAATGTCCAGGGTCATAGGGTCACCTCCTGCAGCACACATGGGTATGACATATATACGTATATATATATGTGCATATATATGGATATATATGTGCATATATATGTGCATATATATGTACAGTATATATACCTATATATTTACATATATAGGTATATATATATGCATATATATGTGCATATATATATGCATATATGTGCATATATGTACAGTATATATATATATATATATAGTGTGAAATATTCAAAAGGCCCTCTGTATAAATGCAACCTTTACATTAAGGCTAGATGAAGGAGAAGGAGGAAGTGTGAAGACGTGTCAGAGGAGGAGAGAGTATTTACGTCCATAACTAGATTGGCGGCCTCTTTAGTTGCATAGAAGCGAGGTGATGTGATGGGTGAAAGTCTGCAGCAGTGTTGAAGTCAGGAGGCTGTTAGTGGAGGATGAGGAGCAGGGTACGGGTTTGACCTCCTGCTTTTAGGGAGAATGTGATGAAAATTGAAAAGAGTTTTTTTTTAATTCCACATGACAACAGCAGTGTCTGGGGAAACAAGTGGATATTTGATCAGGAACTCAAAAAAAAAAAACAAATGTAAATCTGAGTTTTTTTTTTCAGATCACTGCCAAATGACAAAATGATGATAAACTCTGCTAGAGTTTTTTTTTTTTCTTTCACCATCACAGGAAATAAATTAGTGTCAACTTGAAAAGAGAGAATTTTTGAAAACGATCAATAGAGTCAGTCAGACTAAGAGCTGAACTGAAACTTTGTGTTAGCAGTGTGTACGTGCTGCAGATCCATGCAGAGAAGTTTGCTCCTTATTCACTGATCTAAACCTGGTCCTTTAAAAGTTATTGTTGCAGTGAGTTTGTCAATCATGCAGCTTTGTTTTATAGTTGTCTGCTGTGAAAAAAAAGAGTTATGAATGATGGAGAGAGAGGGAGGGAGAGAGGAGACAAAAATGTGAAAAACGTGAGACGGGGGACCAGGGCTGGGGGAGCCGTCTGAGGTTTAGGCGAGGCAGAAAACGACAGGTAGGTGGTGCTGTTGTCCTTGGACCCTCATCCACAACAGGGACGAACGGACGGACAGAGCGGGGCGGGAGAGGTGTCTGAGGGCTAGTGGGTTGGAGAAGGCGGGGGTCTCCGACTGCCATTGAAACATACAGAAGAGAGGGAGAGGGGGGAGGAGAGGGTGGGAGTGGGTCAGCTGTACTGAGACTGAGATTTCCACATCGAGGTTCCACCCACCTGGGTACATTTGGGGGGCCACGGTTTGGTCTGAAGGGCACAGTGGGCGGCCCACCGTAGGGGTCAGGAGAGGCCCCGGGACGGGACGGGACGGGAGGTCCCCCTGCTGGAGGAGGCCCCGGTGGAGGCCCACGAGAACCTGGGCGTGTGGGTGGTCCCGGTGGAGCTCTGCGGTTTGGCGTGGGGCTGGTGGCCGGAGATCTGAGAACAGAGAAGGACAGATATTAGATACAGTGTTACCTCTCTGTATCGCAGATTTTTTTTTTTTTTAAATCTGCGATGTGATGATTTTTTTTTTTTTTTTTTGGCTTTAAAAATGTGGATTCTCGTTTTGAAATTGAGATAAGCGCATTTGGAAACTATGGCTAGTAGCTTTGTTTACCTAGACAAGATCGTACGCAGCATACTATTGGCTAATACAATGCATACTCGGTGTAGTATTGGCTAATTGAGCATGCTCTTCTGTTCCTGCTCAGGCATCGTAGCATCCCTCAGAATCTCCCATCGTTGGCCACTCTCTCGCTCACTTTGCTCGGTGGCGTCGTTGTTATAAAACTCTACTGTGGATGTAATTGTGTGGGAAAGGGTAACACAGTCTAGGGAGGGTTAATAACAGTGTGGGGGAGCTTTGTACAGAGTAAATATATATATATATGTAATTAATATAATGTAAATATATATATATACGTAATTAATATAATAACTATCTTGCCTCTACTTTGCGATTTTTCCTATTTTGCGGTGGGTCTTGGAACGCAACTACCACGATAGGAGAGGGACCACTGTGTATATAAACATATATATGACAACTTTTTGTAGTTTGTTCTTCACCTTCCACTGGGGCTGCCTCGATGCACCTGCAGCCAGGAGTCGTCCACTGGCGGGGGCATGGACGTGCTCACGGTAGACGTGCTGATGTCACCGATGATGCTGAGGGCCTCTCTCAGGGCGTGGTACATCCGCAGCATCTCGTCGCGGTGCAGCGCCTGCTCCTGAGACTCCTCCATCAGTGTGTTCTGGTCTCCACACGAGTACAGCTGGGCCAGCAGCTCGGCGTTGATGAACTCCTTGGTCTGGGAACACAGAGACACAGGTCGGTGTGTGTGGTGTGGTGTGTGTGCACGGTCCTGCGGTCCGTGCTGCCTTCAGGGGCCCACGTTTGAACACCGGTGACAGCGACTGACGTTGTTAATCATGAGGTGCATGACGGTCTTGGGGATCAAGTCGCGGACGGTCTTGTTGACGATGGTCATGTAGGAGTCCACCAGGTTCCGAATGGTCTCCACCTGTCGCTCCAGCTGGGGGTCCATGCTGTGCATTAAGTTGTCAGAGCTGCTGTCGTCGCCACCTTCAGTCTGGAGACACAAAGTGGGTTTTTATTTGTAGTGACAATGAGCAGAAAATATATAATAATGATTTATTTATATATATATGGATGAAGGACACGAGTAACAATACACTATATATACATTTATATATATCATATATATTAATATATATGATATATACTGTATATGGATGAAGAACACAAGTAACACTGACTATATATATATATTTATATATATTATATATACTGTATATATAAAGTATATAGATAAAGAACACGATTAACACTATACTATATAATATATATATATTTATATAGTTATATTTTTTTTTCTTCCCAGTTCCTTGACAAAAAAGTTTTTTTTTTGTTTTTTTTTACAATGCCTGTTGTTCTTTGGCATTTTTTTGACTCAGTATCTTTTGCTAAATCTTAATGAGTTTGGAACTATCATTTCATTTTTCCATTTTTATCTCATTTATTTAAACATCGGAGCCACGTACAAATTTGAGCCGTTACTGTTAGCGTAACAACAGTTACAGCTACCAGACAAAAATGAATCCGTTTTTTATTGCTGAGACCTACCTTTCCCTCCTTCTCCTATTAGTTGAAACAGTGATGGATAATGGAGACGTTGAAAAGACAGATACAGAGTTCCATGAGAGACATGACGAACATTTAAAAAATAAGCGTACTGTGCCTTTAAATCAGTCTCACCGTGACACGTTCGGGGTAAACTCCAGCTCTGAGGAAAGACGCCTTCCACGCGTCGATGTCTTCCTGACTCTCACAGGCCAGCTCCAGTTGACGGTAGTCCTTGTACACATTCCTGTGGACGGAGAACACGAGTACCGCTGACTAGAACTACAAACAGAGAACTTTCTAGAATGTTCTTTATGTGATCGGTGCTGTAGTAGAACCTCTGTTCGGTGTTGAACAGCGCAAAGATGTGTTTGCTGGACATGAAGCCTTTCTCCACATCTCTCAGCTTCAGGTTGTCCACTTGCAGCATGTACTTCTTCTCTTTTTCCTGAAGAGGGCGACATAGAAACACATTCTGTTTGAGTTTCTCTATTGGAATGAACAGAAATGAAGGAAAAACTGGTCGTTTTCTTTTCTTTTCTTTTCTTTTTCTTTTTATTGTCGGGACTAGAATGGTTCCAGAAGCCACTGCAGCAGCAGATAGTACTCTGTGATCATTGCGGGGTTGTTTTTTTTTTCAATTCACCACATGATATACACACACTCTGTGTGTACTGAATGTTGGATTTTTACGGTGTCGGCTGGAGGGAAAACAAGCGTAATCAGTCACAGAGGGTTGGTTGAGAGAGACAAAGAGAAAGGAAACAGATGAAAGAATATCCGAAGTAAACACTAAAAATTAGATTTTACAGAAGAGAGAGAGAGAGAAAGAGAAAAAAGAAAGAGAGAAGAAAAATGTGTGTGGGGGGAGTGTGAGGGGGAGGGAGGGAGGCTGTGCTGGAGAGACGAATGGGAAAGTCATACACAGTCCTACAGTGTCTGTGGTTTTGATTACAGATCTGAAAAGAAAAAAAATGGCCGAGCAACAAATGAGAAACACATACATACAGAGAGAGAGAGAGAGAGAGAGAGAGAGAGGGAGGGAGGGAGAGCGTGAGTGAGAGAGAGAGGGAGGGTGGGAGGGTGGGAGAGCGAGTCTTTCAGGGAAGAAATCTCTTGTACTAGTAAATCTACAAACAACATATGATACCCAGACATCCAAGTATTTATGAATCGGGAAACCTCAAAGTTAGTCATCTCAGTCTGACACATGCCAGCTCTCTCTCTTTCTCTCTCCCCTCTCTCTCCCCTCTCTCTCTCTCTATCCTACACACACATACACACAAACACACAGTGTCGCAGTGAGCGTTTTACTATCGACGGTAAAATTAGAAATCACAAAGAGAGAGGCCGAAAATAGCAAAGGGTGAGTGAGTTTTTTCTTTAAAGGCACGCACACACATGTGCGCACACACACACACACTCCCCGCTTCTGGTTGCACCTTTAAGCACAGTCTCTAACTAACCTTAAAACCATCTGGACGTCTAACCATGAGCCCTGCCCAAACCAGTGTGTGTGTGTGTGTGTGTGTGTGTGTGAGAGAGAGAGAGAGAGAGAGAGAGT